GCCTTAGCAACTTTAAGATATGTGGACTTCAACTCTCAGAATTCCCCAGCCAGTTGGGAGTTGAAGTCCACATATCTTAAAGTTGCTAAGGCTGAGAAACACTGCTTTAGACTAATCCAACATGGTGGTTATGTTTTTTCTTCCTTACACGACTCTAGTATTTCATGCATCCTCAAGTTGAGCTTGACTCCCTGCATACATGCAATTTATTTGGCAGTCTTGTTGAGGTGGTCTGCCACTTCAGCCTTCTTGGAGGGTCTGGCCAACTAGCCCAAAATTCCCAGGCCATCCCCCATCCAAGTGTTAACGCTCCAACCCTACATAGCTTCTGAGATCCAGCAGTTTGCCCGATTATTCCTGAATTCAAGCTTGCTTTCTTTATGTTTCGGTAAAAATGGCAATTTTGGCCCGGAGGTGCATCCTTTGCTACTTACTATGTTGGTTTTCAAGGGAGGTGGGGTATCTGATGACATGACAACTTGAATGGAGCTAAAAAGGTTCCACATTTTTTGAGAGGTTGGGGATTTTATGGACGGAAATAAAGTTCTTTTGGCGCACAGTGGCTTAATTTGTTTATTTCAGCCCTTTTCTGAAAAGTTGGTTTGGCTTAGTCCTTAATGTGAACCAACCACTGTGGTCTGTACATCAGGGTTTGTAGCTTACTGTGATGCATGAAGCCAACCAGTTGAGGCTGATTCTACCAACCCTGCTCAAGACAAACCATGACAGCCTAACATGGGAATCCAGTCATTGTGCTGAAAAAACCCCACCGTTTGCGACTTGTTTGCTAAATCGTTGTTCCGACAAGCTCTGGTTTAACCATGAGCAAACCTGACTTTGGACAGGTTTCTGTGATGGAATTCAGAGGAGGGGGGAACTTTGTTCCTCTTGACAAACTTACTGCATTTCCTTGAATACAGGTTTCTCTTTTCTCTTCTTCTTCTCTTTGGAGATCAGAATCCAGACAATGACACAAATCAAGGCAGCGGCCAGAATCGCCGCAATTAATGCTCCCACAATAATGCCGCTTTCTGAATCTGCAGGGAGAGAGAAACTGTGGTCATTTATACAAGAAGCTCATTAGCAGAAGGTCTGAGGCAGCTAGAGAACCCTTCTGAGTGGACAATAGGTTAGGAAAGGCAATTTATCCATCTTTCTCTTGGCAACGTTTGCACTTATTGTTGGTTCGGCTTAGTGTGTTATGTGCAAACCTGGCCATTTTGCCTTGGGCAACACAGCAGGATGAAAACCCCCTGACTTTGGGTTCCTTGTGAATGCAGCTGTTGAAATCAATGGGGCTTCCTTCGGGGAGGCAATGCACGGCATCCTGCAGGAAGAACGGTGTCCTTTCAGCGTGTTAATTCCAACCAGTTCTTTTCAACTCACGAGTGTGACAGAGAAACTGCAGGGCCCTCTTGGCGGTACAGTAATACAAACTCAACTTTCATCCGAGAGGAAATGCTTTCGTCACATCTCCGTTCCAGTTCTGTTAGGACTTCAAGGAGATGGGTTGGGTCCCTCACATGTTCAGGAATGGGATCCTGCTTTATCCTGAGAACCACCTAGTAGGTACCTTGATCCTAGATTGTCCCCCCAAAAAAGTCAAGGGCTGAGATGGGTTGAACCCATGTCGCAAAACATCTGAGCTTGGCCCTCAGCTCCATTCATTTACTTTTGTACCCTGGTTTCCCCTTTAGAAAATACTCAAGACAGGTATCAAATCAACAGTGAGGTAAGATTAAGATTTTGAGGGGAAAAAACACTTTCCAAGCAATATAAAACCATCTAAATCATATGATATAACAATAGCAGCCGGCTAAATCGTCATTAAATTAACATACACGTAAGTGTTAATTTAAAAACAAATACTTCTAGAGGACCAATCTCTCTTTAAATAAAGCACTTTCTCATTTTAAAGGGGGGTGCTTCAAAATATCTCCTATGATCATTTTTATATCTGGCTCTAATTATCTTTGAGTCTGTCATGGAACTCTCTCAGTGAATGACCATTGCTTATATCATACCTTGAAGATAGAGTTTATTTTGATTTATAGTAATGCTAGGTTTGCACATATAGATACAAATATATTTGTGTGCAATTTTTTAATGCAAACCAAGTGTGTGTGTGGTTTTGTTTTGCTGCTGGCTGCTTATCCCCTCCCTTTCAAGCAAGCCATGTGGAAGGGAGGAAGGGAGGAGGGGGAAGAAGAAGAGGAGGAGGACGACGAGGAGGAGGAGGAAATTAATTCAATGCATATCAAGAAAAGCTGCTGTACATTTTTGAAAGCTTATTTCCTTACAAATTTGGTGCAGTTGATTTCATGCATCAGCAAAATTAAAAATGGTACACAATATCTCACTTTTTCAGCACCTCGTGTTCTCTTTTTTTTTTTTCCCCGAAGCCATGCTTTTGTTTTTAAAAGAACACCTAAGAACGTCTCTGAGTCTTGTTTCTTATGGAAAGGGATCAGAGTGGTGAACAGCTGGCCATGCTTGTATGAATACTGCCCCATTGCTGATACGCAGGGATTTCAACCAATTCCCCTTCCAAAGGGAAAGAATGAGGAGCCAAACTAACATAACTGTGGGAAACTCCTTTACTAATGATGCTGCTGTGATCATTTCAAATTTTCATTGCTGCTTTGAGTCTGGGATTATACTGCTTATTTTATACGGTGTTTTAATGCACGCTTTTGGTGTTTGAATGCCTTTCTTAAAATGGTTGAGTTTTTATTATAAACCACTTGTTTAAACAGGAAGCAGCATATAGACATTTGAAACGAAATAGAACTGATAAGGCAAAACTCAACGTTTTGTGGTGAGGTCAAAGTGACAGGAGCTGTTTCCAAGAGCGTTTGTAGCTGTACACTGGTAATAGCCTTCTTCAAACTGGGTCAGGTTGCCTAGAACCAAGTGTCCTGAGTAAGGGTCTGAAATGAAAGACAGGAGTAAGGCCAGGTTGTTAAACACACATCTTGTACCTTAAAGCGAGTGCTTGCATTGATTTTGGAAGACAGGGAGTGTCAACCTTTCAAGGTGGGCCAGGTCAAGAAACAAACGTTGCAAGGATCTCAGGAATGCAACTTCATTGTAGTAGAGTATATTAACAACATCTCAAAAACCTGTCCATGTTTCTCTCTGTCCCATCTTATGCAAAGAAATTCAAAGTGGAATTATTTTGCATTTCTTTGTCCTGTTTGCTTCAAGCTCTGGACTGTATAATCTCTTTTTTCCAAGTCCCTCCTTCCTTCCCCCCTTCCTTGCTCTTTCATTCCTTCCCCAAGGTCACCTCTTCATTCCTTTACAAGGAGCCAATTTGCCACAGGAACATCATGGCACCAAGCATCTACCACTTTAGAAGCCCACAGTGAAACTGATGTAGGTCTTTGGATTTGGGGAATTCTAATGTGGTGGCTGACAATTGCAGGGCAATGTTGAGGGACAGCTGGCATGACTCCTGTTGAAAAAGTCCACTTTCCAAGCGAACATGTTCAGAGGAAGACAAATGACTACTGATGCCCATAAAGAGCAGTGTTGGCTGATGCTTTCAGTGATGGAACACCTAAGAGTTGGCGATGGAACTTTCTCAGCCCTGAAGTCCAACTCTTCATGGAAACTCCTCCTTTTGAGCTTCTCAAGAAAAGAGTAGATGATGCTGGTCAATGACATTACCTTCAATACAGAATATCTTACAGTGCATTAGGGCAGGAAACCACTCATCTGGAAAGCCTCTTGGGGGGTTCCTAGTTCTGAGAGTTGCCACCATTTTATAGATCGTATGTAGAATTGTTGCATCTCAGGTTTTACATAGGAACTGGAAGGAGAAAGTACTTACTGTACAACTCAGTTACAGGCTTCGCTTTGTCATCAATTAGTCTGTACCATTTGTAGGTTGGAATTGGCAGACCAATTTCTGAAATGCAGGATAAAGTGATCAAGTGGCCAATTTCAATATTCGGATGGTGGCTTGAAACGAAACTGCAGAGGGGCTTTGAAGGAGGAACTGGAAGACAAAAGAGCAAGGCAAAGCAGTGAAATTGAAATTATGTTTCTCTCCTTTCTTCATTGTGTAGTTATTCTAGGGGAGTCTTTCCCAGGCCCTTCATTTGAGAAGCAGGAGCCCTTTCCTTGCACTGGGCTCCTGCTTCTCAAATGGCAAGAAGGCTGTTCTAGATAGTTCAATAATTCTCCAGAAATGAGATTTTAAATATATCAGCAATGGATATAGACCAGTGTTTTTCAAACTTGGCCACTTTAAGATGCCTGGCTGGCTGGGGAATTCTGGGAGTTGAAGTCCACGCATTGCTACATGAGAACTGGCGTGCATTCATAACCACATAGTGAAAATCATTAGTGAGTTTGGGGATGCTTTTCAACTTATCCTCACAAAATCTGTTTTGTGGTGGTTGCCACGCACCACATAGTGAAAATCATTAGTGAGTTTGGGGATGCTTTTCAACTTATCCTCACAAAATCTAGCACAGACACAGTACATATTTCTGCTGAAGGATAACTTCCACTTCTCTTCCCTCCTATACACACACACCCAAACACAATTTCTATTTCCTGGAAGTTGTAAGACTTCATTCATTCATTCATTCATACATACATACATACATACATACATCACATTTATATAGCCGCCCATCTCACAAAGACAGTGCTGGCTTTCATTAAAAAAAAAAGAAGAACACGGTTTTCTTTACAAATGTATCCTATTGGACTTTTTCCCCCTTATATGTGCAATATAGTTTAAACCAGTGTTTCTCACCCTGGGGAACTTTAATTCTGGGATTTAAAGTCCACCCATCTAAAAGTCCCCAAGGTTGAGAAACACTGGTTTAAACTATATTGCAC